CCCACAAGACAGTGGGGATGACGAAGATTCAACGTCAGCAATGCCTACACACATGGACCTGCCAGACAAGTAAGACCTAAACCATTCCAGTGCAGTGCCCCTAATGCCCACGACATCTGTAAGCTGGGGTATTAAAATACTGTGATCAACCGTATCAAAAGCCGCAGTCAAATCCAACAGGACCAGGATCACATAATCATCAGCATCGGTTGCCAAGAATATATCATTAAAAACCCTTAATAAGGCCGACTCTGTACTATGTAAAGTTTTAAAACCAGATTGGAAGACCTCCAGGACATTGTGCTCTTCTAAAAAGGACTTCAACTGAATATAAACCACCCTCTCTAATATCTTAGAAATAAAAGGGAGCTTAGAGATTGGCCTAAAATTAGTTAAGACCAAAGGGTCCAAACCTGGTTTCTTAAGTAGGGGTTGCACTACTGCATGTTTAAAACATGCAGGAACAACACCAGACGACAGACTACTATTAATGATAGCCAAGACCAGCTTACCTATACACGGAAAGACCTCTTTAAAAAAACGCGGGGGAATAACATCCCGCGGAGAGCCAGACAGTTTAATCTGACTAATCATTTTCTCCAAAAAGGCTAAAGTTACAGGTTCAAATGCATCAAAAACGGCCACACAAGGGGCCAAGCCCAAGGGGTCAGAGACAGTGGCTGTACCCAGAGCCCTCGCAGCAGCAACCTTCTCAATAAAAAACTAAGAAATTATCACACACCTCAACAGAGGCTTCCAGGCAGACAGGCTGTGCAAGATTTAACACTGGCCCAATTGTTTTAAATAACACACGTGGATTGTGACTGTTTGATGCAACATCAGCCAAATATTATCTCTTAGCTTTTTTAACAGTCCTTTGATAATTGTGCCAGCAATCCTTTAAGATTTGAAAAGAAACCTGTGGTCTGTCCTTCTTCCACCTCCGTTCAGCTTTACGGCATGCTTGCCTAGCCGCACAAGTCTTGGTGCCAAACCATGGTTCAGGCTTAGCTTTATTAGCCACGTCGAGTAGGGGCGTACGACCTACCCTCCACACAAAACAGGCCAGCCTCAAATACAATAGGCATATGGTCAGAGAAAACATTTACACCAATATCAACGTCTGACACAGAGACACCATTGGAGATAATAAGATCCAACGTATGCCCCTGTTCATGCGTTGGACCAGACACCCATTGCACCAAGTTAAAAGCATCAATAATAGCTAAAAAGTATCTTACCAACGGTTTATCGGGACAACACACATGTATATTGAAATCACCTAGAATAAGAAACCAATCATAATGAGGCATGATACCAGCCAAGAAGTCAGAAAAGTCACTCACAAAGTCCTTATTATACTTAGGTGGCCTATAAACAACCACACACAGAACAGGGTCTGAGCAGCCCCCTCACATACAGTCATTTCAAAGCTGGAAAATGTAGGTAAAGGTAGAGCACACAGCCTACATTTAAAATGCTTGATGCTTGATAAAGGCCTTGAGCAAACATGAAGCTGACATTCAGGAAATACTGGATGAAGGGACAGTGGTGAACATGGTGCAGCCAGAAGGAAAGGGCATTAGCAGGGTCAACAGAGTTCCCCTGGTAACCTCATGGCACTAAGACAGAGAGAAACAGGGGTGTGCTTTCTTCTTCGTTTTCCAAGCAGTGCTATAGTGCCACCAAATTCAAGCTGCTACTTCAACGTGAAAAAGAAAAATTTCCTCTAGAGCCAGTGCCGGGTTTGTCCGTTCTGGGCTCCTGGACACACACAGCGGCCTCCGTGAAAAGTGACCTGCTCCCTGTGTTTATAAAAGGCTCATTCTAATTACACACTCATAAAAAGAGTAGTAGTATATTCTGCTAATAGATCCCTCTACATTTTACACACTGTACTTTTAAAGCATCAGTAATAATAATCTAACGAGATCATACTGTAGAAAAATACACACAGCAGACACTGTCCTGAGTTTACTATTATTTTCAATTAACAACTTGTAACTGTGTTTTTTATTAGTACTCAGACTATGTGAATACCACCCCCACCACGGCTTTAATTGGCTTGTGTGTGTGTCTTATCCGATAGAGATTCTACTTCCTCCATCGCTGTTTGGACCTCAGCATCAATTTAATCTCCTACTGTTTCTACTGTCAGGAGGAAATACAGAGTCACACACACACACAGACAAACCGAGGCACAGCCAAAGTGTAAAATGGCCAAAGGCGCTTCCATCTTGCTGTGTGTGTCCTGAAACAGGCTATCTCAGTCATGGTGCGCTGCAGGAAATGGATTTAGACGTGTGCACAGGAACACACACCTGCAGGCTCAGAGCTCCCAGCAAATGAGAGTGAGACGCCCAGGTGTTCAGTAACAGAGGGGGTGACAATGAAAATGAGATTTTGTTGTTTGCTTTGTTTTTGTTGCAGAGAGAACAGCTAGGGAGATTCTGGCTGTAAGATGCAGCATGATGCCTCCAAACTGCCCCCTGCCCTCCTGAGCTGCAGCTCCCTCCTCTGACAGGGCTGAAAACTGCAGCTGCAGGAAACACTGTCTGCTGCCTTCACAGGCCAAATCACCATAGAGACCCTTAAAACAGAATTTAAATCTGAAGCAACACAGTTAGAACAACCTGCTCCCGACAGTGTAAAAATAAAAAGAGTTGAAAAAAGCTGAGATGAAAATAAACAGAAACCAACTCAGGATGCAGACATGACTACTGCCTCCTTTCTAGACAGTGAAATACACACACAGGTACATACAGGTGCACCGGTACAAGATGACGTTTTCTTAACCAGCCTTTACACACAGACACAGATGGAGCGGTGGTGCTGTGATCCAGCCGCTCTTTGCATTTTAAAGCATGTATTATTGATTGGAACGAGCGGCGGTGAAACGAGTGCGATACTACAGCTTTGTTCGAGGCCAAAGGAGCAAGTTGGACACTTAGCAGACTGGCAGGAGGGAGAGAGGAGCGAGGGACACAGGGAGAGAACGAGGACACATGCTCCCAGTGCTGGCTTTCATACTGTGTTGTGTGGACCAATTTCAGTTGTGTACCAGTGGTGAGAGGACCTGGTGGCATTGTGAGGACACTGGTTGGTCCTCACCCCTTCAGACTTGGCCTTAGGGTTCAGGTTAGGATCTGTTTTGGGTCAAGGTTAGAGCTGAGGGTTAAGCCAACACCACTGAGACTAGATGCAGCCCTGTCTATGGCTTTTCAGCTTATTCAGTCTGTTTAATTGGCAGCAGAAAGGCCGCTCTGATTGGCTGTTCAGCTCTGCAGATCATCCCTTTCTTCTTCCACAACCAAAACACTGAAGGCTGACAACACCAGCACCATTTGTAACTTCTTATCAAACATATTCTCAACTAGAAGCAGCTTTAAACCATCTGGGGTGAAGGAGAGCTTGAACAGTCCAAGGTTTGCCTCTGTCCCTTTCTAAATGCCAAATACAGACTAGGCCACCTGCTGGTCGGGGGGGGTTATGACGCCGAACATGCATGCTAGTTGGCGTCTGGCTGTGGTTGGTGTGTTCAAGTGCCACTTTCTGGGCCACACAAGGAGACACAACAGTCAGCCTGTGCCACTGTTCTTTGATGTGGGCTTGGTGCGTCCCTACCCTCATAACTATAGCAGTGTGTGTGTGTGTGTGTGTGTGTGTGTGTCCCAAGTGGAAATCAGCAGTTAAACCTTGTCGACAGGCCAGGCTTCCTGAGTGGCTGAACACCCCGTTGGACAAATCAGCCTGTCACTGACCTGTTCATGCACAGATCTGTGTGTGTCCTGACATTTGTAGCAGTGTGCAAGCCAACTGCAGAGCACAGGTGGACTTCAGGGTTTTCTTTAAGGGCATGACAGAAAGTAACTGTCATCCTCCAATACACACAAACGCCTCAGTCCAAAGTCTAACAAAGGAACAAAACGTCACGAGTATCTGCAGCAAAGTAGAAAAGGTCCAGCAATAACCTGCCCTCACACTGGCGCCTCAGTTTTTATACCAGTAATAATATAAACAGTTAGAGGTTATAGGGCTTCTCTGGGGTTTAATTTAAATGCCAGTTTAACACCTGTTTCAGCATCATGTCAGTCAAAGCATTAAAGTTAAATGGGAAACCAGCAGCGACAAAAAGCCTACAATGTTTCATAGCGCGTATTTTTCGAGCACTTCTCAACAATAATTAACAATTTCTACTGATAATTAAATTATTTCAAGACAAATTAAAAATGATAAAGTCATGAGTTCATGCATGTTTTAGCCAGACGCCTTGACGTGTCCACTCTGCATGGATGAGCTGCTCAGCAGCGGCAGCACTACAGAGGCACCTGGCCTCTGGCAGCACAGCCTGCTGTCACAACACTGTGTTAGCTTCAGTGTCGCCTGCAGCCGCGTGCAGGCACACTGAGACCTACAGCAGCCAGGAGGCAACGTTTAAGGTGGTTAACTGCACATACAGGTGATTTTTCCAACAAAATTCATATTGTGTATCAGAGAAAAGACTTTGAGGCCTATCTTATTAGCGCATTAGCAAGTGTGATAAGAGGTCAAAAACTAATGTTACGTTGTACATACGAGATTTCTTGCTCAAGCAGAGGCAAACGCACAACTGATAAGGCTGCTGTTAGCAGAGCTTACCAATGTACTGTATTTAGAGCTGACAAACATGGCAAACATTGATGCCACGTTACTGACACTTGAGTCCACGCCCCCTACTCACTCACTCCTAGTTTTAAATCTGCTGGGAGAGCAGAGTGTGGGTGTGTAGTTTCCCTTTACAAGGTCCAGGAACAGCAGCAAGTTGTGTCCAGCTTTAACAATGTGGGCAGAAACGACTAACTAAATTACACAGTAGCAGCACTAGTCACCTCCTACACGTACATGGTTTCAAATTCCCAGCATGCATTTAACGTGAGGGTCAATACAGTGAGCCGAGGACACACACGCGGATACAAATGGAGGGAGAGAGAGTGTGTGTGTGTGTGTGTGTGTGTTCTGACAAGAGTTCAGTAGCTCCTGCTCCATCACTCCGCAGCCCAGCACCTCCATCCAGTCGTCCTGGAAACGCACTTCCATCTCAAAGGAGGGGTGAGTGAAGGGGAAGTAACAGTCGACCCATCTGACCTCCAGATCTGAGGGGGCAGGAGGAAGAACAAGAAGCGGAAGAAGAAAAGGGGGAGGAGAGTGAAAAGGAGAACAAATCAGTGAAGTGAAAAGCTAAACTCCTCTAACAGGTCATGAGACTTCCTGATGTCGTCTCACCTTCTCCAAACAGGTGAGTGACGAGTCGAGTCAGTGTGCGCTTCAGGTCAAACTCCACCAGCTTCACGGCTTCCAGCGTGTGCATCTCCTGTTTGTGAGGCGTCCTTCGACCGCCGCTCTCAAACAGAGACAGCTCCTCCCCATTCTTCACCTTAGAGAAGAGCTGAGGCCGACAAAACATCTGTCACTCATCCTGGCCTGCAGCTACAACCTGCAGCTCCACACAAAGCTGCAGCAGCATGTGGGTTTTAAATCAGAATCGTCAAAATCAAGCATCAAAATACACTTAAAGAACTAAAAGCAGTGTCATAAAATATCTGTTGAGGACACAGTACAATATTTACTTCTGGATGTTGGGGGGGCAGAAGCGTGAAGTGACAACAGAAATACTTCAAAACTGTACTGACACACTACTTGAGTACGTAGTATTTTCATGATGTGAACTCTCACACACACACACACACACACACACACACACACACACACACACGGGGTGCTGTACCTCATGGCTGGAGAAGAGTCGGACTCCCTCCATCTGGTGGAAGACGGGGTAGTGACTGGCATTGATCTCATCCCGCCGGTAAACGTCTCCAGCCAATAGGAACGCATCCAGACCAGACCTCACCATCTCGCTCTGGTGGGCGGAGGTGTGTGCGCGGAGCATCGTTGTTCTAGTTGTAAACGCAATCACATAAACAGGTTTAGTGACATGCTGGTGATTAAATTAAAAAATACTGCTTAGATTTTTATCTTTTTAAAGTCTAGAGTTCACAAACTATGACCAGCAAGACCAGTTTGACCAGCAGGAGTTTTTGGATGCTGACTATAACATGCTCAGAAATAAAAAGGTGAAAAGAAGAACTCAAAAGACCAATAGTGAAGAAAACTGATTTTGGTCAAACTGGCATTTTGGACAAAGTTGCTGTTTGCTAGCTGACTGAAGAATCCTGGTCTCTGTCCAAAATCCTAACACTCTAGTTGTCTGTGATGTGAATCCTGATTCCGAGTGTGAGCTTATCCACTATACTGTGCTGTCAAACAATACAACAACGAAAAAAACCTACAACACAATGCTCCACATTCTCTATAGGCACAAATGACCACTGTGCTACACTGACACTAAGCAGCAGTTCTGTTACCACTGCATGGAAATGCATTAGGTTTAACAAAGGCTTCTCTCCATACACTGTTGTATAGTAAAAGTGACATGGACACACAGTCGCTCACTGGTCCTGCAGGAAGGACATGGCCACAGATGCATTGTGGGTGGAGAGCAGTGTCACTAACCTGTTCAGGTAGTAGTTGTCTCCAGGTTTCCTGCTTGGGTGGTCGGGCGGGATCAGCAAGCTGTCATTCAAATCAAACAGCCAATCAGATTCACCGCAGCAGCTGCTGCTGCAATAACTCATCATAAAGGTAGGTCATTTTTTTAGGGCTACAGAAATATGGCATGTTTAATGACTGAGTCTCCAGATGTGGCATATGTTACATTTCAGTGCTTTTACAAACCCAGGCAGTCATCCTCCCTTTAATCTGTCTATCCATTAATTTATATAGTTGTAAGAGATGTTCATTTTGATGAAACAAATAAAAGTAAAGCACAAATAAGCCACAAAGAAAGCACAATAATTCTGCCTCACACCTAAAGCTTATACTGTGTAACCTGCCAGTGGAGCTCATCATTAGTCAATCCATCCATCAATCAATCCTGAAGCTGCCGACCTGTCAAAGTTCTGCTCCACAGTCACCACGGGGCTCAGGTTGTCATGAACGGAGAACAGTGGAGTGCCCCAGCGGCCAGTGTAGGCACTGTGGAGGGCAGACAGAAACAGAACGGTATGAAACGCCCACGCTCAGAAGGACTGGGGCGCTGTCCTAACGGCGTCACCCGATAACACACTCAGTGACATGAAATCGTGGTATTTTGTAAGGAAACAACATTTTCAGCCGTCAGACAGTGACGACATCCTGCCGGGTGCGGTGATCCCCCGACTTCTCCTCCACTTTGAGTTTGACGTGTTTGGCTCTGAACAACTATCAGATGGATTTTCCCAAAGTATGGCTGAGACATTCATGTTTATTGAAGGATGAACAACTTTGCTGATTCTCTAACCTTTCGCCTAGCGCCACCATCATTTTGTCATGTTACTTTGTTTTAAAAGAAGCTTCTCTTTATTCGTACTCTCAATAAGATCTGTTCAGTTGGTACCTGAAAATACAATGCGAGCTAAGCACTTTTTATCTGACTCACAGGCTGCAGCCATCCTAGCCTTGCAGGAAGTCCCTAAGACACTGTGGGCTACACACATTGATGATATTGGCCTCATCAATGATTTGCATTAGTTGTAATTACTCCCAAATCTGATCACAGGCCATGTAAACAACTATACTTTCTCAAAAATAAAAAGTAGCTATTGATGTCATCATTCCAATGTTTGAATCTCTTAAAGAGGCAGGAATAATTGTACCCTGTGAGAAATCCCCTGTGCGCACCCCTTGCTCCCTGTAAATAAAAAAAAGTAAGAGATGAAGGTTAACCTATAGAATGAAGACTTGTGCAGGACTTGCAAGCAGTAAATGCTGCAGTCAAGCCTTGAGCCACTTGTTTTGCTAAAAGGCACAGCTTTATTGCAATATGTTATACTCTTGCAGAACCTGGCTGAACATAAAGTTAGTCTCTTTAAACTGCAGTTAACCGACACTGGGACTACCTGACTTGACCAGACCTTTCACACAGACTGTGGATGAGAAAAATGCATGTATGACATCTGTTCTCTTGTAGGAACAGGGTGGACAACGTCCTGTTGCCTATTTCTTTGCTAAACTGGCTGAAGGAAAATCTGTTACCATTTACAATAGTGTAAAACCCTGTCCAGCGTTCTTCCTTAGATTTTCAACAGGTGAAAGCAGTTCTCCCGGGCCCCAGCCTTTGAACCTCTACATGATCTGCAGCCAAGGACTGGGTCGTGATAAAAGAGCTCTAGCGGAGACACTGAAAGTCCAAGCGCTGGCAGGAACCATTTGAAGTCCTGATGACAACGCACACAGCAGTTAAGGTAGCAGAAAGAGCAACCTGGATTCATGTCAGCCACTGTAAGAAGGTGCTAGAGATGACATCTGAGTACCCCAACCCAGCACACTTACTCACACACCCTGATTAAGTGAGGTTGCGTTGAAACAACACAGCAGCAAAGTGTGAGCCAAGCGCCGCTTCCTGCTGCTCCGATGAAATACATGTGCACGCACATGCTTGTGCCTGGCCATTCAGCTCTGCTCTCACCAGTTCCATTTGATTACCAATTCCCTATGTTTGTGAATGCCACAAATACACATTATATCCTAAGTTTATTCATAGTAAACACATAAATGCTACTAATATGTGGTGGAGATTTGCTAACCACAACATTGCAGCTATGGTTATAGCTATGAAATTGAGTAATTGTTATGTGTGCACGCACATGCTTGTGCCTGGCCATTCAGCTCTGCTCTCACCAGTTCCATTTGATTACCAATTCCCTATGTTTGTGAATGCCACAACAGATGGTTTTATAGGTGTAAGGAAGGAACTAACAGGCCTCAGGCTCACAGCCATGCAGGACCAAATGGTCTTAGATCAGTTAACAGCTTCACATTGAAATGATGTTTTTGACCTCCCAGCCAACACAGCCTCTCTCTCTCATCAACTGCTTATAGCTCAGACAACTCTGATTCTGGGGATTCAATGCTAGTATAGGCCTATTATTGTCATCCTCCTCTTTGTTTGTGCTTCATGATTGTATCACAAAAACAGTATATTTGGTTTTTCTTCTAGGTTATAATGATTTATCTTAAACCTTTTCGGTGTGATAAGTTTGATATGTTCCTAAGAAGACTTTTGTATGGACTGTTGTGATTAATGTTTAATCAAGAGGAGGGAGTGTGGTGGCAGTTTTTATAATAGCACCCTTGAGGTTCTTTAGCTGTGGCTTTCATGTCATTGTATGCCATCATTTGTGTGGTTGTGACCCCAGACCGTTTAATGCATGGTTGTAAACCTTTGTATGTCCTTGTGGTTGCCAAACTAGATGTGACCTGGGACCAAAGGGCTGGTATCCTGTTGCGAATTGTATCCTGTTTCCTTTATCTGTTTGAGCATCTGTCTTCTTTGTTGTATGCTGAGTATAAGAAGGGCTGTCACACTCTGTTCATTGAGCTTCCCTGTAACAGACTGTATTAGACACTCTGTTCAGAGAAACAGAATAACTTTCAGAACTGATGTTAAGCATTTATTTTACACTCACCGAGCGTTAAAAGATAATTTTTCCACAACAATTTGACAAAAGATGCTATTAAATTCTTTCAGTTTAATCTAAATCTGAATTGTGAGAAACCAAGTGTGTTAGACCGTGGTTACGTACTGTATAATTACTGTTTGCACACCTAAACATAACTTTCCAAGCCACATTTAACTTAAAACAGATTATTTTTTAGGGTTGGGGTCATAATATATGGATCAAAATATGCTATCAAATTGTTACAACTACTTTCTTCATGTTTTAAGTTTCATGGAAATCTGCCTCAAAGAGAGAAGAAAAGCTGCAGTAATGAAAAGTTTTCATCTAGTCTGAAAATCTCCCAGCAGTCTTCAGGTGCTGCCGCCCTGCTGCTGTCACAGCATTCAGGCTTTTCTAAAGTTCACAACCTGTGAAATAGCAGAGTCACAAACCGCTGTCAGACCACACACTCACTGACTATTTAATGACTTATTAAAGCAGCAGTAATGTACTCACTGCTGTGTGCGCACTGGTTTTATATGGCAAGCGTGGAATATATCAGCAGTACAACAGCATTTCACTGCTGCATACAGTGCAGCAAACCTCTACACCTGACCGTCCCTGAAGACAGTGAGCCTGCAGACAGTCAGTCAGCAGTCTGAGCTCCAAAACAAGGAAAGGACACCGAAAAATACAGGACTTGGATATAAAGAAGAGAGAGAAGATGGTAGAAAGGATGACGATTAAGTCACAAAGACTCTGAGGATATCGAAACAGGGCGTCATCTCAATATAAACTCCTGATGTGTGATGAGTCATATATAAAGTAACTACTGCCTTCACTCTGCCGAGATTTAAAACATGTAGTTAAATTCATCAAGTGCAGGAAGTTTTCCAGGACGTTAACATTGCAGGAGGTGGCCAAAACAGGCAAAAAGAAACAAACGAGACTGTTTCATTCCATGATTGACTCTCCTGTTTGCTCTGCAGGATGCCAGTGAGTCTGGAAGTGTCAGCGGTCAGTGTTTGACACAGAGTCAAACAGGGTGGAGAGCTCCACCTCTGTTCAGTGCCTACCTGTAGAAATGGGCCTTGATCCGCTCCTTAATCAGCCACAGAGGGTGGTGGGCCTGGTTGTGCAGGTTGCGGCCAACCTTAGACAAGACCTTCGGTGTCACATTGGTGAAGTGGTCACGGGGGAAGGAGTGGCCCAGCACCTCCACTGAGTCCTGACCAACCACAGACTGACAGGTGGGGCCATCTGTGCTGACACGTCTGCATGATGTTGTGCTCCCATTGGCCAAGAGCGTTGACGGGCAGCACCGATGGAACACAGGTGGGGGCGGGGGCTGTAGGAAGGGACGAAGCAAGGACAGGGGGTTGCTGCTGAGTCTCATGACGATTGGTCCATGGAGCTGGAAAGACAGAGAAAGACACTGGAAGTCAGTACACTGGAGAACAGAGAAACAGACTAGGCGTGTTGCGACATAAAGGGGTATTTTAAAAATGAAATATTGACATCAAGTTAATAATACACATATGATAATACCATAAATAATCCAGAACCAGTAACTATCTGGTCCAGCTAAGCAGGGGACAGTACTGAACTTTAACACGAGGTCACCGTCCAGCAAAGAGGAGGCATCATATTCTTTATCTTTGCAGGTGAATTGGCACATAAAAGACATGTAATACCACTGGGTAGTCTCAGAGCTGGAAGGTGGACTTCTGGTCAATAGCGGGCAGCAACTCCTCATTATCACCTCATGAAGCTGATTCAACAACCAGCAGCAGCAGAGCAGTGGTGTGTGTGACCACCTGGTCAATCTCTCCTCTAGCTCTGGTTTTGGTCTCCACCAGCTCCTTCAGCCACTAAGGGCTCCACTGTGCTCTGGCCTCTGATTGGGTCTGTCTGCAGTTTGCTGCTGAGCAGGTCTGGGCACAGACTCGCTGCTCAGTCATCACATTTATCATTGTGCAGCTGACATCGGAGAGACAAAGATGCAGGACGTGACACCAGACCTGGTTCTTAGTAGGGCGGTCAGATATGAGGTGGGAGCTAAAACTGCCCCCCACCCCCCAGATAATTTCCTCCTATCAGCTGTAACTGTACTAACATCAGAAACAGCAGAGGTTCAAAGTGAGCAGAGTCAGCTTCTCTGTGCTTCTCTCCATCTTTTATACTTTGACAGGAAACAGGACCATCGCCCTTTTGTTCCCCTCAAATATCTGTCCATTGTGTCTCTCCTTCTCTCTCTCTCACTCACACACACACACACACACACACACACACACACAGGGATTATCCTTGAACAAGACGAAGGCTGTTGCATTGCAGTGGCATTGCAACAAAACAGATTACTGTTCCAAAATCCACAAAGCTTTTCCCTCTGCTCAGCTGCTGGTGTCATATTATACTGAAGTAGACAGGGCACAGCTGAGGTCGTAAACACATCTACACAGTACACAGTTGTTGATGGCTGCAGGTAAGTGTCAAGGTCAATCTGACTTCAGGACTAAGGCACTGTCTCTGAGGTGATGAAGCCCAAATAGCATGTTCATTACAGTACTGTCACATAGCACGCACTAGCTGCTGATGTCTTGTCGAAGAAAAGCAGTGAAATCACAAAATCCTTCCTCTGCGCAGCATCAGCGTGTTCAGTAAAGATCAAGGCCACTCAGCAATAATTTATCTTGTGTACAAAGTTCGTAATTTCTCCGAAGGCAAACACACTGGAAAGGTCATGCGCGGCAAAGGCCAAATTAGACAAAGAACCTCTGTGCAAAACAAAAAGGTGTTAACGGTGTGTCCTGCAGTATTTTACAATGGAGGTGGGTCACATTGTCTGGAACACCACCCAACACTCGTAAAAATGAACACACTTTTACTACCAGCCATGAGGAGCAGCCAACATTAGTTCAAACATTTCAGATCCACTCCCGATCCGATTCCGCTCAAAGATGGACGCTTAATAATTGATCATCTCTGACAGTACGCTGTGCGTCGTAGTCACTATGCAGTGACAGGCTTTCTGTGGGCCTGAGGGCCGCCCGCTTGTCCGGACACAATTCAGCAGCCCGTTATCTTACATGACCACAGAAGGTCATCTCCAGACAACACATACAGTAGCTGGAGCTGCAGGGGAGGCACATGACCCTGGTGTGCAGCTCGCTAACCGTTCAGACTAATGTCAAACTTGTGCCATGTGGAAACAGTGGACCGAATAGCCACGGGATCTTCCCTGGTTGTCTCCATCACGGCTCTTCTTCTTTCCTCTCTTTGGGACTGATCGTCTCCACAGCATGTGGTTATCACCATATGTCTGTAGCCACACAGGCACATATGGACGCCTACACACACGGACACACACGTAGAATAAATTCACACATTACATGCAATAAACTGCAGAGACCTGAAACTGAGCAGAACTTTACATACACATGGGGACGGAGACAGATGGATGATCTTAAACACGACAATCTGGATGAATGTGTGTTTGTTAGGAGTGCGATCTGGCACCAGACCTGTGCAGCGGCCACAGACCAACTGACCTGCTCCAACCCTAACCAAACTGTAGCTGGAGACGCAGGTGGTGCCGATGGGGCATTGGACTCGAGCTCTCAAACCACGTACTTTCTCATTAAACTTGCTGGTATTGTTACAAAGTTAACTGTTAAAAGCTGCTGAACAACTACACAGAAAATAATAAATGATCAAGGTGACAATGGAACCCAAAACTAAATTATTTAGGCTAAAAAGGCTAAAACTATTTTACTAAATGTTACCAACTTGTCAGCTGTTTCCTTTTCGACTAACATCTGCCTTACTGTGATTTTGACCATTAGCTCCGGAGCTAGCTGATGGAGGGTATGTAAACGTCTGACCCACTGGGAATGTGATGACAGAAATAACAGCTGACATAAATCTTTTTCTATACTTTTATTCTGACACTTCACATTCTGAAAATAAAGTACGGACACTAACTGACCTGAGACAGGGATGGTTTAAATCAAATCAAATCAAATTTTATTTGTATAGTGCCAAATCACAACAAAAGTCATCTCAGGACACTTTACAAAGTAAGGTCTAGACCTTACTATTATTACAGAGGGAAAACCCAACAAATCCCCCTTGAGCAAGTACTTGGCGACAGTGGAGAAGAAAAACTCCCTTTAACGGAAGAAACCTCCGACAGACCCCGGCTCTTGGTGGGCAGCTTTCTGCTTCGACCGGTTGGGGTAAGTGGATAGAGGAGAGACAAAAGAAGAAAAGCAACAAGACACAACAAACAATCAAACACTGGTCAGGTTGATGTGGCTGGTGAATGCTCATCAGAATCATAGAGCTCCAGAGCCAGGGCTACCTGCAGAAAGGTACAGGGAGAGAGAGAGGACACACTACGGGAAAGAGGAAACACAAAGTTAGTGATGTGTAATGGTGGCATATACTGTATAAGCATAAAGAGAGAGGAGAGGGGAGGGGAGGAGAGAAACTCAGAGCATCATGGGGCCCCCCAGCAGCCTAGGCCTATAGCAGCATAACTAAGGGAAAGCTCAGGGTCACCTGATCCAGCCCTAACTATAAGCTTTATCAAAAAGGAAAGTCTTAAGTCTAATCTTAAAGGTAGAGAGGGTGTCCGCCTCCCGAACTGAGACTGGGAGTTGGTTCCATAGGAGAGGAGCTTGATAGCTAAAGGCTCTGCCTCCCATTCTACTTCTGTGGACTCTAGGAACGACAAGTAAACCTGCACTCTGAGAGCGAAGTGCTCTGTTAGGATGATAAGGCTCTACGAGGTCTTTAAGATACAATGGAACCTTGTCATTAAGGGCTTTGTATGTTAGGAGAAGGATTTTAAATTCTATGCTGAATGTTACAGGGAGCCAGTGGAGAGAAGCTAATATGGGAGAGATATGATATCTCTTGCTAGTTCCTGTCAGTACTCTGGCTG